AAGGTTATTAGATATTTTATCATAATTATGACCTACATCTCAGTTTAAAAATACAAGTTTTGTTTTGACAGCCACAACCGGAAACGGGGGATATTACCAGGTCCTGGACCAACCTGGCAACCCCGGCAGGTTCAGTAGTTACTGTGGGAAGATGGTGGACTTCGTGACAGCAGCGTGCTCAAAACTCCGTCCTAAACACTTCGAGAAATACTTACCATCTCAACCTGGCGTTAGGTATAAATTACCCGGGGACAATCACAGATAATACTTACAGAAAACCGATAACGAGTGAGTTCTTCGCCTCTTTTTTTTCCGGAATTGAAGACAGCGCGCGGAGAGTTGCAAAGAAAAAAAAAAAACGTGGTGGTTGGCGTGTTCATAACTCAGTCAGTGGGAGAAGCTCAGTGGGAAAACGACGACACATGTCCAGTTCAGTCTGAAGAGTGAAGCGACAGGGATAATTTAGACCGTGGTGTTTCTGCCTTGTTCAGCTGTCAAAGCCAGAAGGAGTTGAACCGAAGAGAAAGCTAACTAGCTGCTAGCTTCGCTGCTGTGAGCCGGAGGAGCCGACATGCCGCGGGGGAAGAAGGGCAAACGTGGCTCCTGTAAGCCGGGTGAGTAACCGCCGAGCTTCCTGCAGGGATGTTGTTCTGACACCATGAGAATAAACAGCTCCATCACCAAACCTTTAAGCCCGAGCAGCAGTCATATTTAGGCATCCATGCTCCGAATAACAAGCAGCCTGTTGCTCCTCTTTCTGCCTGTCTGTAGGATTTCAACCTGTTTACATTCTGCAACACAATAAAGGGCTTTTATTGTTAGTTTTGATGTTCAGTCAGTTAATAAGAATGCCATACTTTTTAATCTAAATATAAAATGTACAAGTGCATTTTTTCATGTCAACAGAAATAATCAGCTGAACATTTTATGAATGAATGTTTGCAGGTGAAGGTTTGAGGGATTCTGGGTAAAGTTTATGCTGATTATAGCTCAAATTGTGTTCTTTTTAGAAAGTTTAAATATAGTCGCATGTGAGAAAACCATTTATGCATGAAATTTAAATTTAGATCTTATTCAGTGGGTCACCAAATTGGGTATTGGTTTCCACAAGTTGTAGACTGATTAATCATTTTAACAGTCACTGATATTTGTCACTTGAAGAAAGATTTGTCTTTATATAATTGTCAAACTTTTCAAGCGCTGCTAACCCTCCTGCTGCCCTTGGGTCAAAACGACCCAGGAGTTTTCAGTCTTAAAACTTTATTTAGTCTCATGGGTGGTTTTGACCCAAGGGCAGCAGGAGGGTTTAATACACAGTTATTTAAGTTAAGCATTTCTGTTTTCTGTTTCGTATTGTTGAATGGACAATGCATATTAAAAAATAGAAAAATTGGCGTAAGTTGGCATACAACCTGATTTCTAAAGCTCAGCATGGGTTGTAGAAAAACCAAATTGGTCGACCCTTAGTTTTAACACGCGCAGAAACAGTTGAGGAAACATCAATGTAATTATTGGAGCATTATTTTTGAATCTTTGTAAATTTTTAATTCACGTTCTGAGCACTTGCAGGCAGAAATGGCACATGTAGCTGCGTGTTATTTTTAGCAGCAGTGCCATCATGCAGCTTAATATGTGCACGCTTTTTTTTTTTTTATTGTCCTAGAAAAAGAAAAGCCCAAACGGCAACTGCATCCAAGTTTTTTTGTTTGTTTTTTGCTCTTATGCGTCACTCCAGACTGTTGATGGGCGCTTGCAGCTTTGCAGGAACAGATTTCCACGTGTCTGTTTTCAGTCTCCTCAGGTTTTATGTGGCGCTTCTGCTTGGGAAGCACATGAGCAGCATGCGAGCAAAAACTGTTAGATCTTCTATAACGATGAGGAGGAAAAAAAAGAAGTAAACTTATCAAAAGATGTGATATGAGTAATATGTGTGCAAACAAATAAATAAAAACTGAGTTTACAGAATAGAATATGCACCTCATTTGATGTTTTCTTCTTCTTCATCATGGCCACATCAACATTTGACATTTATTTATTCATCCACCCACCATCATCTGCTCTATTTCAAACGTTCTTTCACCCCTCTGCCCATACATCAACTCCAGGGTCTCTCCGTCAGGAGGTTCTTCAGCTTCAGCTTTCGGCTAAAGCATCCCCTAAAGGTAACTCTGACCTTTGACCTCATCTTCCTGACCAGTTCAGACCTTTTTTCAGAAGCTTTTGCTTCATTCTAGTGCATGCAGTAAACCCAACACCCACTTACCTGCTAAAGGCAGTTTTTATTGTCCTTAGAGGATATCTTAGAGGAACTAAAGATATCTAATCTTTTCCCCAGTCTTACATTACTTGCCCTGATTTCTCATGTTTGATTCCCCACCCTTTGCCTGGTATGATGCCACACAGTTCTACTCAACATGAGGCCGCCTTGCTTCATTTTCTACAGCAAACAATACTGTTTTGATGTATACAGCATCAGCTGTTTATAAAGCAGCACTGCAGAAGCTCCAGCGACAAACACGACTGCACGAGTTCATTGCATCGCCTCAGTTTGACCGGCTTTTATATCTAAAGCAACTTTCAAGTAAAGAGGGGTGTAGAGGGTTTAATTTGCAAGGAGAGTTCTGCATCAAAGGGTTTGATCCAAATGGTTAATGAACATGCTTATAGGCCTGTCGCGATACACAATAAATCAATTAATCGCATGATAAATGAAAATTATCTACCTCATTTTCGTTTATCGGCTTTATCGTTTCTTCGCGTCTCTTTCTACTGAAGACACTGGATGACAAAAGGCTACCCCTCCCTTTCTCTTTTCTCTTTAAAATCCATTTTAACCATCCAAAATCGTGTTTTTGGATCGTTAAAAGCAGCTAAGCTGAGAAACCAAGCTACGAGCTAAGCTAACAGGCTGACCTCGGGGTGGGGAAAGCTCTGTCTTGTCGAAGCTCCAGAATTAACTGTTGAAACCTGTGCCATTGTGTAAAAAGTTTATTTTCTCTGCAAAAAGAAGCTGAGAACTTGTTTATTTAGAAAAATGGTATGCTAAAGAGCTCAAACCACACCGAGCGTCCACCATTTTGAGAACCGGCAAAAAGGAAAGAAAGACAGCCCGTATCACATCACGGGGCCTCCCTCCCATTTTTCTTAAAGATACACGCTGCTCGTTCCCTCACTATCCATTCTTCGGTTCAAACAGTCTTATACTGTCATCCTGTGGTTAAAAAAGGCACTACACTCAAAACAAATTAACCAACATTTCTTCTTAAATTTGACAATAAATACTAATTGTCAAATTTCAAACAATATTATCGTTTATCGCAATATTTTCTGAGACAATTAATCGCCCAGCAAAATTAGTTATCGTGACAGGCCTACATGCTTATTCTCATTAATAATGCCCACAATATTCAATCTGAGCACAAATAAAAGAGCCATGTTGCAAACTGTGCCCAACTCCTAAAATGACTGTACAGAACCAGAACTGCCTCGGCATCTTTCCTGTCGCAGAGCCACAGGTGGCAATTCTCTCAGACTAATCCTCAGTCTGCAGTGTTTCAACAAACCAGCTTGATAACAAGCTTTTACAATTTAAAAGTTAAAAAAAGGCTGAGCTGTACCGTTTTGTAACGTGTAATGAGAAAACGCCATCTGATACGACTGACCTTACTACAGTCCCAGTCTGTGAATAAATGCCCCATTTTCATGCTGTAATCTTTTTAATTTTTTTAAAGAACTACCAACACAGAAATATAAAAGAAGTTTAATAACATTTACTGCACTATTTATGTTGGCTACAAATAAAACGTTTTGCTCCATCACCATCAACGGTAACCCAATTCTGGCTTTACGTTTTGCTCAGTCAAACTTGTTCTTTCCTCCGCTGTGACCTGGTTGTTAACTCTAACCTGAATAGTAAATGAGGTGAGTTAAAAACCTTTAAAATGATCTGTTGGGGTAGCATCCACAATTAAAATCACTATTCTTCCCAAGATATTGTAAATCTTCTGTAATCTTTTTTTAAATTTTAGATTTTTTTTATTTATCCAAATGCACTAAGAAACAAAGAAGGACTGCCATTCTCTAAGTTTACATGCACTTTCAGCTGAAAATACATCAGTCTTAATCTTGAAAGTGATGTATTTGCCAGATGACCAAGTTCCAAAATATTATCATGAACAAACCAACGGTAAAAAAGTTCCCTATAACCATTCTGAGATAATTTAGATCAATTTCATATTTAAAGAACTGGGTGTGTCATCACAAGGTAGTCCTATTTACGTCATTTGCTCTTGCTTTGGTTCTGGGTTCTGGTTTGTCAGCAGAGCATCTAACTTGAACAAGTGATCATGTAGAGAAGACGACACGTGCGTTGTGGCAGGGAGCTCACACTTCACATTACTGAGCAGTGTGGGTACATCTGCGTAGGAAGCTATATATTTGTGTTTGTGCATATAAGGAGGCTTCAGATGAGTAAACTGCAGTGATCAGGAGTGCGGCTCCGAAAATGCTGACTAATATGAGCCAAATAGTCCAGTTTTTCCACCTTTGAACCAAAGATTTAGTCATTTAATCGTTTCCAAAACCAATAAAGCGACCATGTTTTTTGTAATCATGCCACTGAAACCACATTCACTCCAGTTGTACTATGTAATGGCCAGTTTATAATACATCTTTTCATCTTGGTGTCAAGTTGCTATGGGTGTTATCCCCAATTTTAAATAAAGAAAAGGTGGAATAGATGATCAAAGACAAAGGAGTCCACACCTAGATCGGCACAATTTAAATGACTGAACCTTCACCTAGTTTACTCAGTTTACCCATCCTGGATCCAGTTATTTATTCTGCTGACTAGTGATTTATTTTCTGCATGCAGCTTTGATCTACTAAACTTAAATTAGAACTTTTCTTGTACGTTTGTGGTGATTTAATAAGCTTGAGTTGGTTGTAGATGGTGTGAAACAATTTCCAGTAAAAGCCAAACCAGGAAAACTGGTTTTCTATAAAAGCTGTTTCACATGTTGGTGAAGTGAGTGACCTCTGGTTCGCCTCATCTGTACTCGTTGACTTGGGCACAAACATGTTCTGGAGCGTATATTCTGAATGAATGAACGAATGAATGACCGCGGCCATCGCCGGTAATCCCAGCAACAGTGGAAAGCTCTGAGCCAGCAGGAACCTGAGAGTTCAGCTCTGCCTGCCTCTTGCGCCTCCACGACCACACGTGGCCGAGCTGAAACAGAACACCTGGTTCTAATAAAAGCATAAACCAAGATGGGACATGGCCTAATGGAAAATCTTTTCACCGTTTCCTGATAATTAACCAAAGCTGTTTTTGTGGGGACACTAAAACTCGTTTTGCTCAACAAGCAGCTGTGAACTAATGAGCAGTTATAATATTTTAAAGTAACAGTATAAACTCTTTATGTTCAGACATGGAGCTATTAATCACCACAGCTTTTGTTTCTGTGTGTCCATGAAACATTAAAAACCTTGTCTGTAGCTATAAATTTAGTCTGATTCTGATGGTTTTCAGCTGTTTCTTGTTTTTCACGCTTTTAAAGTTAAAATTCTAATTATTCTTTACCTTTTACAATAATTAAAAAAAAAAAGCGAAGCATTGTATTTTCAAGCTGCATCCAAAACAAATGCAAAATATAACATCTGAATAAAAATGATAAACGGCAGAACGTTTCTGAGTACTGTAGTCCCTCAATTATCGTGGGAGTTACGTTCCGGACACCCCCACGATACGTGAAAATCTGCAAAGTAGGGATATTATATTTATATTAGTAAATGTATTTATTTATTTATTTAAAGGCTTTATAAACCCTTCCCACACTCTTGCAATGTTCTAAACTCTTAAATCTATGTCATTTTAACAACATACGTGTATGTACTGTGCAGTACTGCAAACATTTGAGTACTCACCAGTGGAGATACTACACTTAAAGGACGAGTTCAGCTTCAGGATTATTTGAGATTTTCCTTCCAGTTCTGTGAGTCTAATAGATCGTTACTTCTGACTTTGTGTTGTAAAACTATTTTTACCACATCGGTTTCTCTGTTCGTGTTTGCTCCCTCCATTGCAATTCTTTGAATTTCGACAGAAAGCAGCGTCTGGAAGCACTGTTGGCTTCTGGGCCTTGTAGTTCTTTTGACTTGCGTTACAATGTAGGCTTATTGAAAGAAAACTACAAAATGGCGGTGCCTGTCCGAACTATTTTTAAATTTATGTATTGTCCTCTTGGCTGGTTCCCGCTCCCGTTAACTTTTTATCCCGTACTGTCCCAATCACATGAGTAATAGTAATAACAATTATTGTCGTGTACAATCTTGCGCTGAAAACACGTGAAAGAGTGAATCTGCGAACGTTGAACCATGAAGTATCAAGTGACTACTGTAATAATAATGATCTGGTATTACTGTTGATTTGATCACTCTGCAACGATAGGGGAGGAAAAAATGGCTTTAAGTGAACACTTTCTATTCAAGTCACTCAGAAACTTTTTTTTTAAATGTATTTGATCCAGCAATGTGTTGTTAAAATACAAGTTTGAGTTGTACTCACGTGGTTTCAGCATCTGTATGTATTGACAGAGATGCTCAGCATCACCTGCAGTGAAAGATATTGCATCACCTTTAACCTGACAGCTGTCAACATCCAGATGTGGGGATAAAGTGGCTCTAATTAAAAAGGCTGTATGAATTTTGTGTTTGCCCATTCAGGGAAGAATGAGCTTCTTCTTTGTATAGCAACTCTTTAGCAAAAAATCTGTTTATTTATTTATGTTTTTCAAATAATCCCTCTAAATGTGATTTTAAAAACACATCTCTTTTCTATTTAGTCGTCTTTTTCTCACTTTTGTGCACGTTTTCTGTCTCCAGGTGTCAAAAATGGAGTGAAGGGAGAGTCTACTGCCAGCGATGATGAGATGACCTCTGATATTCTCAGCCACTACAGCAGTGCCAGTGAAAGCGCCTCCGTGATGGAAGAGAGCACTGGTCTGCCCACAGATACAAAGACATTCATCTGCACACACACCGGCTGTTCACAATATGCTAACATATGATGAAAACACAGTCGGTTTGGTTTATTGCTTGTAGCTATTTCTGTTAATTACAAATTTCATTCCTTTTTTGCAATGCGACATATAAACATAAAGCCACTTGGTATCACCTCCTTCAGATGAGCTGTTATCACAGTGAACATATCAGTTAAATGAGCTCATTGATCTTAAACAGGAAGTGAGCAGGTGGATGAGCAGACGGCGCAGGATCAAATGGAAGACAAACTCAAACAGTGTATAGACAACCTGATGGACAAGAGGTAAACATTTCAACTCTAACTCATAAAGAACCTGCTTCAGGCATGTGAATTAAACAAATGCAGACTAGTAGCGCTGAAAGTTACCTGAAAGCTTCACCCTCTTGTTTCTGAACGTCTCAGTGCGAAGACGCGTCTCGCAGCCCTCGAGTCGCTTCGACAGGCTTTCTCCTCCAAAGTTTTATACGACTTCCTAACAGAGAGGCGCCTCACTGTGAGCGACTGCTTGGAAAGGAGTATTAAAAAAGGTAAGACAAACAAATGTGTGTTTGGAAATGTAAATATCTTACAAAAAAAAAAAAAAAAGATTTACGATGGGTGTTTGTTTTTATTATAAAAAGTAACTATATTCACAGATAAAGATTGTATGAGCTTCATGTTAACTGTTCCCTTCATATGTCCAGGTGGAGGGGAGGAGCAGGCAGCAGCAGCTACAGTCTTCACCCTGCTGTGTATCCAGCTGGGGGGTGGAGATGAGGCGGAGGAGGGCTTCAAGGTGCTTCGTCCTATTTTCACCTCCATCCTGACTGACAGCAGTGCCAATATAGCAGCTCGTCAAAGTGTGAGTAATCGTGAACCGTGTTTGTTTTTTTAAAAACCTCAGAGTCTGGGCTCTATAAATAAAACTATATTTTTAATATAAAAAGACAGAAAAATTAATTATGGAAATTTGACTTGACATGTTTTTTTCTGCCTGCTCTCTTTTAATCTGCATTTAATTATCAATGATCCCATCAGCTTAAATTCAAGTAAAGATCAGCAAAAATAAACTTAGATAGATTTTGACTGTAGTCCTAAACAAGACAAATTGCATTTCCTGTGAAAATGCAGTGTGAATGCTTATTGCACAGAAGAACTTGCTGAAAAAGCGCTGAAATTGGCTAAAAAGCATGCTGAAATGTAGATGAAATAAGAGAACAAGCCTAAAATAGCAGAGGAAAGCAGAAAGAACACGTATTTGCTGAATTGTGTTTAAATAAGCAGATATGAGCACAAACATTAGGAAATTGGCTAAAGAAGCTGACATTAATTGAAAGTTTATAGGCTTAAAGTAGAAGAAATGACCGTGAAAAACTTGAATTTATCTGAAAACAGCTAAAAAATGTTAACGATAGCTGAAAAGAGAACAAGCTTAAATTAGCAGAAGAAACCGGAAAGAACACGTTTGTCCAATTAGGCTGAAAGAAACAGAAATGAGCACAAAAAAGTGAAAATTATCTGAAAAAAGCTGAAATAAGGAGAAAACAGCTGAAAAGTAGCTAAAAAGGCAGAAAGAAGCTTAACTTACCAGAAGCAAGTGGGAAGAGAACATTTTTTTCTGAATTGGGCTGAAAAAGTTAAAATGAGTGTAAAAAATGTGGAATTAGCTGAAAAAGCTACAATTAGCATAAAATGGCTGTATAGTAGCTGAAACTTGCAGAAATAAGCTGAAAGAAGCATAACAAGCTGAAATTAGCAGAAAGAAGGTAGAAAAAACACAAAAATATTACAGTTAGTGGAAAAACATCTGAAAGGAGCACAAAACAGCTGGAAGTGGCTGAAAGAAAGTTTTTAAATTTGCACAAGGAAGCTGAAAGAAGCTGAACCAGAACAAAATGTGAAAGGAGCAGTAAATGTGTAAACACATCTAAAGATTTGAAGGATGTAAAATGAGCTCAATTCAATTTCTCTGAGAAACAAATGGCAGAAAAGGCTAAATATTTCAAAAAGCTAAAGTTGTACAAATACTAAAAGTCATAGCACCCTTTTCTTGAACGAGCTGAATGTTTTGAGATATGATTTGTTGAAAACACTTGAACTGCGGGATGAGTGAAATAATAGTGTGAATGCTTCATGAGCATTCACACAATTAGGACCACTAACAACTGGTTCAGTTCAGTTTGACCATTTTGAGAGCAAAAAAAAAAAAGACCAAAACACCCGGCGGTGTTTATCAGACTTCTAAGGACAGATGGGAGGAGTCTGTGTCATTCACAACGTTTGAATGTTTGTGTAATAATTTGTCCTTTTCTGCTTTTCCCTCATCTCCATCAGTGTGTGAGAGCTTTGGGGATGTGCTGTTACGTGTCAACTGCTGAAGAAGGAGAGGTGATTTCACTTTTAATTCTTAAAGAACGCACAGCAATACATGGGTCTGCATGACTTGCACCAAGTTCACAATTCTGAGTGGTCACGTTTTGATCCATAGTTTCAAAGTTTGAACTTAACAATAGCTATAAGTTGTACATTTGTTCTTGTTCTTTGTTGGAAAAGTTGCACTCATGTGACTCTTCACCTTATCGCTGCAGACCTTAATCAAGTCATTGGCTCATCTGGAGAGTATCTTCATGTCTTCTTACCCCAACAAAGAGGGAACGTTGCCGACTCCCAAACCAGGTAGTTCAGGACTCCACATTACAGCCCTGCAGGCCTGGTCGCTGCTGGTCACCCTCTGTCCCGCTTCCAAACTCACTCTGCTGCTGGACATGTGAGTCAAAAAACCACTCAAAACCCAATATGTCACAGTAAACATCCAACTCATGTCAAGTCATTTTGTTCTATCTGAAGTAACATGTTATAAGTGTATACTGTGCCAACAAAACAATAACTGTCTTTTTTTCAACTTCTTGGCTTTATTAAACTTTAAATGTTGACAATATGATGTAATTTAACACCACACTGACTCGCCATTTTACGTAAAGTTATCAACATTAACAGTGATTCATCTGCTTTGTTTATTTTTTCTGTTTTTGCAGTCACCTTCCCAAGCTGCTAGCTTGTCTTCAGAGCAGCGACGTCAACTACAGAATTGCAGTGGGAGAGACCATCGCGCTGCTCGTGGAGTTAGGACGAGATCTAGACGAGGTAAACACACGCATTAACAGCACCGAACACAAACTACAGAAACGTGTGTAATATATACTTATATTTACATATATAAACCTTCTGAGCTGGATAACTTGACAAACGAGGAACCTGCCGACTTGTTTCGGTGTGTGGCTACAGCTAGGTGTAAGACATGTTCCTTTTGAAAACTGGGTTGCCGTGTCAAAATCCAGTCCAGAAAAACATCTCAAAAACTGCAAACGTTCACACGTTCAAATCCCTCAGCGATTGGGGACATCGGCGTACTTCTTGTTTTTGCGTCGACAACTGCTGGCACTAAGTTAGCGCTAAGCTAACCGACCCCCGCGTGCAATCTTGCAATCGTGCAAGTCTCCCCACCTTGGTTCTGCTTGCTGTTTGGACCAACTGTCAATCCAGCTGCACCGCCCCGGCGAAATGCAGCTGATTTGACCATTAAAGTGCATTTATTAAGCAAACGTTAGATTGATACACACTTTAATATAATTTTGAGCAAACAAATAATTGTTTTTAAGTGTTAGTCTTGTTAAATTCTTGTTAAAGTCCTCCTGTGCATGCTCCCGCGTCTGCCATTTGGTGGCCCAACAGTTTTTGGCACAACACCGGTCCACATTTCCGGGTTGTCAGCGGTGACACGTAACAAACGCGATGCGTCAGCTGTGATGCATAATAGATGCGACGTATACGGCGTAGTGACATATGTATGGATTTTTCCACTTTATTAGACAAATATGGACTGATGCGACTTATATGGCGGTGCGACGCGGTTTTACAGCAGAAAATTCGGTTTACTCCCACCCCTGTATTTTACTGCACTAACGCTTTGTCCTGTGTGTGTGTGTGTGTGTGTGTGTGTGTGTGTATAGGAGTTTGAGGTGGAGGACAGTGAAAGTCTGTGTGAGTCTCTGAAGAGTTTAGCCACTGACAGCGCGAAACACAGAGCGAAAAACGACAGAAGGAAACAGCGCTCGATCTTCAGAGAGGTGCTACATTACATCGAGGTATGGACTGACACTTGTGGCTTAAATGATACTTCAGGGGATGTGAGACAGTGGTAAATACTAACAGAAGATCAACTGAAGCCTCGGGGATAATTTACTTGATGTTTCTGTTGCAGCATCCCTTCTCTCTTCATCATCTTATTTGCTTCTTTTATTTATTTATCCATTTCTTTTTTTCCTGCAGAATGAAGAGTTCACGGAGGAGAAAATCCGGTTTGGACTGGAGAACGTTTACATCGACAGCTGGATGAGGAGACGAATCTATGATGCCTTCAAGGAGATCCTAGAATCTGGAGTCAGACACCATCTACAAGTGAGGGGAATATAAAGTCTGCAGCTTTTATTGAACTAATTAGAACTGAAGCACCGACGCTGCACCAACAGCATTAAAGAAAAACCTACAGAGCTTTACATAGATGAGGGTTCACATCGGTCATCTCAAACACAACTAGACAAATAGATTTCCTGCAAAGATGCAGTGTGAGTGCTTATTACTGAAGAAATTGCTGAAAAACAGCTGAAATTAGCTAAAGTCATACTGAAATGTAGCTGAAATGGAAGAACAAGCCTAAGTTAGCAGAAGAAAGCTGAAAGAACACATATTTGATGAACTAGTTTTAAATAAGCAGAAATTAGCACAAAAATTAGGAAATTAGCTAAAAAAAAAAAAAAAAAAAGCTGAAATTAGCAAAAAATAGCTGAAAATTAGCCAGAAGTTCAGAAAAAAACTTAAACTACCAGAAGGAAGTGGAAGGAGCTGAAATGAGCTAAAAAAAAAAAATGGAAATGGCTGAAAAAGCTAGATTTGGCAGAAAAACTGCTAAGAAGTAGCTGAAATAACAGAAAAAGCTGAAACTTGCATGAAAACGATGAAAGAAGATTAACAAGCTGAAATTAGCAGAGAGAAGTTAATTAAGCTGAAAGTAGCAGAAATTACCTGAGAAACTTGAATTTATCTTAAACAGCTGAAATTGACTAAAAAATGCTAAAATAAAAAAAGTAGCTGAAAAGGTAGAACAAGCTTAAATTAGCAGAAGAAAACAGAAAGAACACGTTTGCCCAATTAGGCTGAAAGTAGAAAAAACTAGCACAAAAAGTGCAAATTATCTGAAAAATATTAAATGACCAAAAAGCAGCTGGAAAAAAGTAACTAAAAAGGCAGAAAGAAGCTTAAATTATCAGATGGAAGTGGAGAGAACATAGTTGTGCCCAATTAAGCTGAAAAAAGTTTAAATTTGTGAAAAAAATATGGAGTTAGCTGAAAAAGATAAAATTAGCATAAAAACAGCTAAATAGTAGTTGAAATAATAGGACATGCTGAAACTTGCAGGATTAAGTTGAAAGGAGCATAAAACACTGAATTTAGCAAAAATAAGTTAAAAGAAGCACAAAAATGTTGTAGAGAGAGAATTCCTCAGCAAATCCTTTTCACTTGCATGTATTTTATTTAATTTATTAATGTTTTTAATCAAATGTATATAGCACATTTAAAAACAACTGTTGTTGTCCAAAGTGCTGCAGGCATTACAAATGATAAAAAGACACAACTGAACACAAGAGACCGGACAAAAACACAAACTAAAACACATTTACACGTTTCTCTCGTTGATTTGTTTCCTAATGTTTCCAAGTCAGACGTGAACCAGACAAACTAAATTTAGGACATAAGTTCAAAAGCCACTTTGTCATCTGTCAACAAAAGCAACCTGAAATCGGGAGTTCAAAGTGTGTTTGTATTAGTCAAGTCAGTTTTTTCTTATTTTTGTGTGTTGGATCAGTAACGTGAAACAAAGCTCTGCAGTTTGTTTTCACTCTAGTTGTGTAACTTTTCTTTTTGTTTGTTGAAGCATAACCCACTACTGCGAGACATCTTTGGCCTTGGACCCCCCATCATCTTGGATGCTACCATCAAAGCCAACAAGATCTCACGATTTGAGAAGGTAACGGACTGTTTTCTGGCCTTGAGCCGAAATATTCAGACTTTGTTCACATTTTCAGCATTTTACTGGAACGTTTCCCAGTTTGCTGCGTTTGTGCCCTCTGCGATCACAGCCCGGCAGCAATCTTCTCTTGTTCTTTGTTTTGAGCAGCATCTATTCAACTCGGCTGCCTTCAAAGCCAGAACGAAACAGAGGAGCAAAGTCAGGGACAAACGGGCTGACGTCATGTGAGAGAAGCATAAAGATGGAGCGAAGAAAGGAGGCGAGGGACTCCTGAAGCTGCTCTGATCCAGACACAACGTGGTGCCTTTAACTCTTCGCCTGTCCGACACATGAAAACTCAGCCTATAGGATATTTTTTCCTCAAAGCTCGGATCAGTTTCATTAGTGAATGTACTATAGGAGGCCTTGTTATTCCTTCGATACTCCTCCAGTTTCACGCCTGAAGAGGTTACTTCAGCTGCCAAATATGTTCAAGCGTTACAAATAATGCAACCTTAAGGAAACTGTGTGTGGTGTTTGTGTGCGAGTGTGTTTGGACATTAACCATGAAATGAAATTCTATAACAAGAAGATGCCTAATTAAAACGTTGAAATCAAAGACTTAATATTGTCTTCTCTATTTTGATGTTTTTGCAACAGAAATGTTTGTGTTGACTTAAATAATTGTATTTTAATTTATTAAGACAATGCATATTTTTTAAAGAAACTTGATGTTTTTAAAAACTGTTTACAAACACAAATACGATTAAAATTGTGATTTCCCCCCTTGTTTAATTGTAATGCAGGTCGGTGATGAATTTTTATGTCTGTTTTAGATAAACTGACATGGATTTATGAAGATATGCATTCATAAAATCTGAATAATGTATTTCTGACGAGAGGAAGATACGAACTGGTCACAAGTCAGAGCTGTTGATGAGATGGGTTTGGGGATGCTGAATTTACTGGTTATGTTAGAATTTTAAATTCATTTAATTGTCTGTTTTCTTAATTTATAATTAAATGAACCATAAACTTTTAAATAATTTGATAAGAAGCCAACAATTTTACCTGGATGACTGTCGTGTCACAGGTCTGTCTCATCTATTCCTGGTGCTGATGGAACAAATGGATTAAATGAAATAAATACTTTTACACTTAAACTGGTTCTCATTTATTCTAAACCGTTAATTCTGCTTGTAGTTTCTCAACTGGGAAGATGTTTTGTGTGTAATCGGCTACTTTAAATGCTTGTTTGCCATGGAAGTCAATTTTATTTACAAAAAGGCAACAAGTCAAAATTATGTTTAAAACAGCAAAAATGACTAAAGTTCAAACTTGTTAAAATTAGTTCTGCTGCCCCCTCGTGGACGCTTTTGTCATTACAATTTACAAACTAAGCAAAACTGATGTAATATCTCAATATTAAGTTTTAAACTTCATGGTTACTTTTAAGAAAGAATTAAAAAAAGTTAAATCAGTTTGAGAAAACGCTAATAGTATTGTAAATGTATATTTTTGTTTTTATTACATGATTAGAGCTGTCAGCAGTGTAGGCTTTCCATACACTTCAATTTGTTTATATATATATATATATATATATATATATATATATATGCCAGTTTACAATTAAAAAATGTGTCCTTACAAAAAGGCAAGTCAAAATCATAATGTTGAAAACGGCAAAAATAGAAGTTTTGTTAAAGCTATGCTGCCTTCTTATGGAGTTTTTTGTCATTACAAGTTTATTGGCCACAAAGTACAGTATATACTGTATTGAGGTTGAAGGAAATGAGAGAAAAAATACTGAAAACAGATGTGATATCTCAATATTACGTCTTAAACTTTTTAAGTTCATGGTTACTTTTCAGAAATAATTAAAAGTTCAATCAGTCTGAGGAAAACATTTTGTAATAGTATTGTAAATGTATATTTTTGTTCACTATTACATGATTAGAGCTGTCAGCTGTTTAGACTTTCCATACGCTTCAATTTATGTTTTTTATATATGCCAGTTTACAATATAAATGTCGGGTCATTACACAAAGGCAACAAGTCAAAATCACAATGTTTAAAACAGCAAAAATAATGACGTTTAAACTTGTTAAACTCATCTCTGCTGCCCTCTTGTGGATGTTTTTGTTATTACGATTCAACAAACTGGCCTCAGTGGGTTATGGTCCAGGTCCACTCATAAATCCAACATGGCGATGCGGGCACACTTAAAGTAATTGTTAGCTGCTGAACCAAGTCTAAAAGTCAAGAAACGCTGTTTTACAAAGGGATTAGAGTAAATAAGTGAACTAATATCGAGCCTGTCGGCAGGTGCTCCTGAGAATAGCGGTTTAATTTGTTGCGCATGCGTGACTGGGGTTGTCACAGACATATGGTTGTTAGCTGATGTGAGCTAGCGTAGGCTAACTCAGTCCCGAATGGACTCTGCGCAAATCACGGGGGTGTTCGGAGAACTCTGCGGCCTCTCTACGCCGGTCTCAGCTCATGTGAGCGATGAGCAGCTGCCGGAGGCCCGAGTCTATAAAGTGACAGCAGGTGAGCTGACTGCTGCTAACTTCTTCTACAGTATATCATTTGTGTGTGTTGTTAATTGTCACACAGTTACACAACTAAGATACAGTAATTTACTAAATGGAAATAAATGAACAATGGGCAAGTAATGTATCTTTTTACAGAACCTTTCAGGGTGTATCTGTTTTTTTACCAGATGAATATGATGACTTATCTTATCTAGTGTTCATGTGCTGTGGGTCCTTCCACCTGGATGGCCAAAAGCAACCATGTCCTTCTCATACTGATGTAGGATGTATGCACAGGGACCACCCCGAACAGTGAGATGAACAGTGATAGACACAGTTTTTTCACATATCACAAAGAAAGTATCAAAAATAGATTGCCAATAGGTCCATATTTTGGGACAAGTCCAGAATGTATGCAGCTGGAGTTTGTTTACAATGATTACATGCGGGGTCCAGCTTGGTTTTGATCTTGGACTTGTCTTTGGACCAGTGCAGCCAGTGCACCACCTTGAATTGAATTACAGTGTCTCAGACCGATTGAAGATGAGTAAATGTTCTTAATGAGCTGTCTCCAGATCGAGTCTGATATGGATGCCTTCAAATCTGTTTCCCATTTCAGTTTTAGAGAGCCAAACTGGTCTCGTGATATGAACTGAGCAGTGTAGATCTTGCTGACGGCCCCCTTAGTATCAGACTTGTATTCCAAAATCTTAACCAAAATGTTTAGAGGTGTACAAAGGAAAACAATCAGTTAGACCTCACAAAATGCCTCCGTTGCAGATATGTGATATGACAGTTTAGGTCAAAATAGTATAATTTTAAAGTGACAGTACTATAGTTCATAATTTCTTATCTGGCAACACAACTGACATGGAAACTACAGCATTTACACTCATGTTTTTGTTTATTATCCCCAATAAACATTGAAAAAACACAGGTTGTTCTCATGTAAACAGGACCTTCTAGTAGGTAGATCACTTTCATTTCAAAAGTAGCTCGCATGATGAAAAAGTGTGGGCACTCCTGGTTTAAACCATTCAAAACTTTTAACCCTGAACCATAAAATCTTCTTAAAACACATTTGTCAGATTAATACATGTACATATCCTTCATGCATACACAAAGACTGGAGGGACATTTCCAGTTTATTTACATTTTATTTACAGTATTTACATTTTATTAGCATTTTATTTACAGCATTTTAAATTTAATTTAATTTAAAAATTTTGTGATTTATATTTTTACGGTTTATTCACAGTAATAATTAATTTTTTTATTGATTTAATTTAATTTTAATTAAAGTGTTTTACAATTTTTTTACACTTTAAAGTTTTGTTCTTAGTTTATTTTTTAGTTTATTTTAAGTTGTTTTTGTTTGTTTGTTTTTGCTTTCAGGTATTATTTTTTTTACAGTTTGTTTATATGTTTAAAGTATTTTTACAGTTTTTTTTTATAGTTTAGTTTTTGTCTTAGTTTTTTGGTTGTTTTGTTTAAATTTGATTTATAGTTGTTTTAAGTGTATTTTTCAAAGTTTTTTTTAAAATATTTTAGTTATAGTATTTTTTGTTGTTGTTTTTTTTTTGTTTTTTTTTTACACTTTATTTACTGTAAATGTTTAGTTTTTTTTGTTTTTTTTTTTACATTTTATTTAGGGTATTAGT